TTACCCTGTGTAAAATCCTGCTCTGGATCAGGTGCACAATATCTGCCATGGTTAATGCACTGAGACTTGCATTGATCGCTCAGAATGAAAGCTTCTGGACAGGCGTGTAACCTCCCTTTTCAAGAATTTGGGCGTGCCCTTTGAAATTCTTGACGAAGTTCATCTGGTCATCGCACCGAATCCCACACTCGTCGTTGCTGTTAGTCCACAGCTCGTATTCGACCCTTTGATCGGGATGGGGCATTGACTCAGTCCAGTCTATTTTGACCACCACATCATCGCCTTTCTTGAGGGAATCTTTGAGCGACTGGCCAAAGGAGCGCTCGATCAATGCAGAAGGGATTTCGATCTTGTCTATGTATCCGTTGGTATCGGTGCTCTCTTCAGGGGAATCCATGGTGATGAGGGGTTCGTCTATAGTGTCCGCCACTAGAACCGCAGATGCTCCGGCCTGCTGTGCGTTCCACACCTTCAACGCAAAGTAGCAATCTGGAGATGGAGGAGACATACCACCAAAAATCAAATCTTTTATGTATATTGAATAAAAAAAAAAAAAAAAAAAAAGAAGAAGTGAGAAGAAATCACGAAGACCTCCACGATCAAGAAGAAGAATAGAGGGACGTGGGGACTTAGACTTGAAGGGAGAGCAGCCGGTGAAGCCAGTTGGAGGGTAGAAGAGAGTGCCGACCAAAGATCCACCGTAATCGGGAACGCCAAAGTTGGCAATAGCAGCGTCGTGCTTTGAACGGAGGACAGTTGGAGAAATGACGCTTATGCTGCTCTTCTCAACAACAAATCTTGATTCCACTTGTTCAACTACTAGTAATAAAAGGACTTGTGTTAAGATGATAAGAAATACAAACATAGATGCAGTAGTATTCATAGCCATGTCAATGTGTGTGCGTTGTCTACAAAATGAAATTAAATTTGCAGAAACTAGAAAAGTTAATTAGAAGCAGACTTAAAATAGATAGACGACAGAGAAGACTTTGGGTTTTGAGGTCATCATCATATCATCATGTAGTAGCTAGCTAAGAGGAGGGAGGATATCAAAAAAATACATAGTTGCTATGACACAACATTATTAACAACAAAATATTTATAAAAAAGACTCGGTCATATTTGACTTGCAATTTTTATTTTTATTTTCTTCTTCTTCTTTTTGTTATTTGCCAAATACCCCCAAGTTGGGAATCATATTTCTTTGGGCAAATGGCAAAAAGGCCCATCACATGGGACTTAAATGCATTTTAGTCCACAAAAAAAACAGTCTCTCAATTAAGCCCATCCCCATGTCTTTAGTCTAAAATACCCTCAATAATATAATTCTTAACAATTCCACCAATTATGCTCTAACTTCCTTAATATTACACATTGACCCCGGATTTAAACAAATATATCACATTAACCCCCAAAACTTTTTTTTTTTCAGAAAATAATT